CACGGGGGCGGGAGCGGCTGGGCGGAGGCTGTCCCCTCGCCTGCCAGGAGCGGTGTGGCAGGGGCAGGAGCAGGAGCCACTGCTGGAGGTGGGAGAAGCAAAGCAGCACCTGGCCAGCTGCAGCTGCACCAGCAACAGCCCCACAGGAAGCTGCTCAGTGCCGCACGGTGCAGCAAGGGCAGAAGCAGGAACCACCCCTGGAGGCAGGGAGAGCAGAACAACACCTTGCTGGGCCAGGGATAGCATGGAGTGCTGCATGGGTAGCATGGTCTGCTCTCCCTGGGCAAGCTCTGCTGTACGCACCCCCCTCCCTCCCCTCACCCGTAGCAGGCTTCTGGAACCTAGCATCCAGGCAGCCCCCACCCCCCACACATGCATGCATGTACCCTACCCCCCACCAAGGGTCCCAGGTCCTGGCCCCCAGCCTAGAGTTGTCACCACCCTGCAACCAGGCCCTGTGATCCCAGCCTTGCCCACCCTCCCACTCCTGAACAATGCTTCCTGGTTGCCCACAGTCCCCTAGGAAGCTTGGTAAGTTGTTGCGGTGGAAGAGTGGGGATGGATGGGGGTGGTGCTGACCTGGCCTGTGACAGCTAATCAGAGCTCCCCATGTGGCCCTTGGACCCAAATAATTGCCCACCCCTGCTGTAATATATGAGGTCCTTTCTACAAGAGTGAATTTTAAGGTACTATAGCCTTTTTCCAAGAGCAGGGGCACTCTCACAGGTGGAGCTGGTTACTTCCTTTGAAGTTTTATAACTGAAGTTTCTATTCTGGTTCCAAGAGAACTTAGCAACACAAAATGTCACTCTTTTCCATGTAACTTCCATATTTTTGGCATCAGAATCTAAATTCAGTTCCAAAACATCAACCTTTCTTCTTGCCTGAAAAATATACTTGTGGAATTCTAAGGGAATCTAAAGATAGAGTAGATTTCATGTCTGGTTTCAAAGGCTTTCTTAAAATCACTGGCATTAACTATTCAGACATGTACTAGCCCTTCAGAGATATCCAAACACTAAAAATTAAAGTCGGCAGTATTATCTGCTGTTAATCATTGTATCTTTAGAAGAACTTTAAAGTGCGCAATAGTGAATAGCCTAACTTCAAATGCAGAAATATGGTATTCCCTCACCACAGGAATAAGTGAATTAGTTTTGTTTTTAACCTTGCAAATTTGAGAGCTAGTCTACCTGTTTGTAGAAAGTACTTTTCTGGATGCCAGATGTTTCTGTAGGGAGTTTTATTAGTCTAATGAATGTATTTACCCAAACTTGATGAGCAAACGTACTCTAAATCACCGTATAACATCCTGGTTCTATGATTATATTTAAGGCAAGTTCAGCAAAGTGCCTAGTGTATAAACAGTCTTGCAAAATGTACATGTAAAAGAAAAGTATTCTCGTGTATGCTTTGCTTGTACTTTCTGAATTGCTCAGGGTTAAAAGAGCAACAAATAAATGGGACAGTTCTGTAGTATCTTTCATGTTATTTCTTAGATACAGTGTGTTTCATTGTTAATTTGTGGCAAATTATTTGCTGTAAAAGATATTGTAATGGTATGAGAGGACTAAGATTCATGATGGTTCCAATGATTCTTTGAAAACTAACCACATTAAAATCCTCAGAACTTTTTAGCAGTAAGATTGTGTTATACCACTTGAACAAAACCAGGTGGAGACTATGCTAAGCTAATTCTGCTGTCACCTCCAAATCATAGATCATGTGTGTCCTGGTTTTTATCTAAAAATCTTCCCTGAAATGAAGAAGGTTGGGTAGATATTTTTGTGATATCAGTTAAACTGTTTTTGTTCTTAAAATCTTACCTTGTAATCAAATACCATACGAAATCTGTGAATTAGACTATACCAGATGAGTGGCATGGGGCCTGGCCACTCTGGTCCAGTACTGGGCCCCAGGGCCCTGTACCACCTCTACCTGCTGGGATCAGGCCCAGAGCCCCACACTGCCCTTGCCCAGCCCAGATCCCATATGTTAGGATCAAGCTCCAGACTGCCCCTGCCTAGTGCTGTGTCAGGATCAGGTCCTGCATCACCCTTTTCTCACCCCCCCCAAATCTAGAATACACAGCCACAGCGCATGGGTCTTCCCAGTCCATCGAAGCCACATAGGTCAGATGACGTTGCGCTGGAGACTGGATTGGGCCCACCTGGGGGTTGAATACTCCTACACGAGACATGTGTCATGGTTCAAGTATCTAGAACAAACATAGTGTAGTATAAAACCTCAGAGAGTAGTGTAAAACTGTCCCTATACAGTAGCCTCATCTTTAGTTTTGTATAAAATGGTGGTGATGTCAGAGCCATACTCAGGAAGCTGACTTAGTGTTTGCCACCACTCTAAACCCAGGACTACTTAGTTCCTTTTTTAGTTCCTCATTTTATAGACATTAACATTTCATCTCCCTTTTTATGCATTTTCTCTCTTTCAAATTGTGTTTGGATTTGAAAACACTTTCTGGGAAAACATGTCTTAAAAGTTTTAAGAAAGTAACAGTACTAAAATACCTAGAAGCCAAACTGGAGACCACTACCCACAATAACTGAAACAATTTCAAGGCAAAAATGTTTTCACTAGAAATAATTTATAGTTTGTTTTCAGGAGCTTAAGTTAAAATCACAGATTATATTCGAGTAGCAGCTTTGATGACTATGATAGCAATCTTCTTTCCCCTTTTTATACTTAATTTGTATTTTCCTAATATAGTGATTTTTTTTTTTTCCAATTAATACAGTATAATACTCATGTAGAGAGAACAGTCCTTGTCCCTGCCAACCTTTTTAAGTTACCTCTTAAAAATTGCCAGATTAGTATATAGCAAGGCTGTCCAGCTTCTGAGTAGCCAGGAGCCTCAGGTGTGTCACAGGCCTCCTAGGCTGATTCTGCATGGTCTACATGTGTCGCTGCATGGCTGGAGTCCCCTCCATCCCTGCATACCCCACCCAGTATGCTGCTGGGGGGCACCCCCCCACCTGTGCTATTCCAGTGCTACCATGCCTTGCATAATGCTGTGTGGTTCCCTCCCACCTTGTTGCATGCACCCCCATACCTTGCAAGGTGCCCTAAGACCTGGCTGTGGACTCCCATAGCCATGCAAAGTGTACCACCCCACCAGCCCCAACATGCTGCAGCAGAAGTGGGAAGAGGGATGGGGAGGAGGCCAGAAATTCTGTAGGCAACAGTGGTGGCTAGGAGGAATGATGCCCAGAGGCCACAAGTTAACCACTCAAAGGCCACATGCAGGCTGCCAGCTGGACAGCTGTCTATAGGAAGGTAGCTAGAACTTTGGCACCGTACTTCTGAACCTTGTAAGATGTGTGACCAGTCTCCTAGGCTGCACTACCTTTACCAGGAACAAAGTAATTGTAGATGAGAACTCAGTGTGAAATGTTACACATTTGAACTCTAGTTTAGCTTTGTTTCCCTAATATAGATAAAAAATGCACGTGACTGGCTCATGCCTGAAACCTGAATCTTTTTGTTCTTGGAGTAAGAAAACCTAGTTAAAAAAAAAACTTTGAAAAATGTTCCCACTAAAATAGAACAAATATTCCATTTTACTCTAGTGGTTTATTTAAGGCTATATCCATAGAGATGGGGGTGGGGTTTTTTGCAGAGGAAATGAAGGGAATAAAACACCCTTTCCTTGCAATCTACCCTTCAGCTTGAAGGGTAGATTACTTTGCTATAAATTCAATTTTCTTTTCAACCTGGTTGTAGCTCCAGGATGACCTAAGAATTTATTTGGTTTACAGCATCAGACCAGTCCCCTCCCTTTTTTATTTTTACCCCAACTTGTTTGAAATCTGGACAGTTAGGGGGGAAAAAAGGATTCTATGAACCAAGTAATTAGCTGTGCTTATCTAATTTTACTGAACCTATCACTGATGTTTAAAGTGTCAGTGCATTATTTCACTCTGAGGATTATTTTCTCTGGTTCTCTTTCTGTGTGCGTGTATGCGTGTGTGATTATTTAATGGGTATGAAGAAGGGGGAAGGGAAGAACTCTTGGGTCCTTTTTCCATACCTTCTTTATTAAAAGAAATCATCCAAAAATGCATGCTTTAAGAGAAACAAGATAAACTCCAGAGAATAAAATATGTATCTTTAATAAATTACTGTATTGTTTCGTAGCATGAAAGCAAGATAACATGGGCTTTTAATAACTGACTGCATATTTTCTCAATTCCCTTTCCTCAGATTTTTTTCAGATGCTTGCAGGAGAGTGAACAGCCTGTGTTTTAGAAAATTAAGACTTCCAATTTCAGAACAGACCTTTTTTAAGCAAATCAGAATTTAAATGCAAGTCAATGAGTTTCTGTAAAACTGGCTTACTCATTCTTAAATCTTCAAATAGTTGAATTTTTTTGAGGGAATAGGACCTAAAGTTGTGAAATTCTGTAAGAAAAGGGATGCGTTAGATCAGTGAGGTGTGTGGGTGGGGTTTTCGCATCGTGCACCAATGTCACTTAGATTTCCTAATATACATTCATGCACTCCCAATGCAAGAAGTTGCCTGGAATACTACAAAACCTTATTATTGAGTACTGACATCCAACAAGGATCTTGGAGAATGTCAGATGTTCAATCTGTGCTTTCAGAGGCTTCCACTGCTCCTCTGTTCAGTAAGATTTAACAGTTAAACTGAAGTCCACTCGCACTTCTAGGAGGTGCATAATTCTGTGTGCGTGTTTGAATTACAGCACATATAATGTTTATGCTGTGGCTTTAAAGCCTCTTAGTAGTTTTGATAACATTATTATGTGAAGGTAGATGACTTTGCTCTCTTTCTGTGTTCCTTCAGTGATCTTTTTATATTTAATCTCATATGTTCTTTCCAGGCTTCTAGTTAGTGCCTCCCAGGATGGCAAACTTATAATTTGGGACAGTTATACCACAAACAAGGTGAGTAACTGACATATTACTGCTTAATTGAAATTAAAATGAAAATACAAGGGCAAAGAATATAGTTTACCTATGTCGGCTCTTAGAGGTAGAGCCAGTATTTAGTTTAAACCTAACTTTTGACTCATAATTATTTTATGACAAATGTATTTAGAACCGCAACTATAGCATGTATATTTAAACATGTATTGATTATATACATGTGTTGTCTCTGAGAAACTAAAAATATTTAGTTCTAGAGCAAGGTTAGTTTTTGTTCTGCTGCTCCAGGAGCAGCTGTCAGTAAAGGGAGCAGAAGTTAATTAGCAAACCATTTCCCTGAAATGTTCTAAGTGGGAAGAGCACAGATGTACTAGTTTAAATTCTGCAATAAGGCAGTGAAACACCAGAATGCTGGTAAATGACTGACTTAGTTTCTGGCTGTAGTCATGTGACCAGACTAAGGTTACAGACGGTTGAATGGGACATGGTAGTGGTCAGTGCCCAGTGGTTACTTCATTGTCTTTGTGACAAATTCAGCAAAGGCTAAGAAAATATTGCTTGCTAAATAAAGACATTTGGTTTCAGAGAGCTTAAAATAGGAAACTTCAACAGGTAAAAGGCAGTTTAATAACCAGAAGTACTTTGTAATTGAAAAAGAGGAGATGCTAAAATAGTCACTTCAACAGTGACTTCCATATTAGGATCTTAAAGTTCTTTGCAAACATTAATTAATATCTTGAACATTCCTGGGAGGTAGGGAGGGGATCCCTATTTTTAGGATTGGGGAAACTGAATCACATAAAGGTTGTTGGTTGATTTAAGGAAGTCTTTGGTCGAGTCAGAAATAGAACTCTTTAGCTAGAAGTGCATCATCCCTTTGAAACTAGGCTCATTCAGTGAAAAAATTGCTAAGCAAATAAAGGAATGTGGCTTCAAATTTCCTTGATCTAGGAAGTACTTTTTTTACATTTACATTTAATATTTTCACAAATTGGAATAGATTACATCTGAAAGCAATCTCTCTCAAAATATTTATGATAACATTGTGGCTAAGTAGTCCTTACTGCAGTTGTGTTGTACAAAATGTTAGCAACAACAAAACACAGTTATAAACACATTTTTATCCTGCAGTTGAAATATGGATAGATATTTGGGGAATTTCATGAACTTTATGCTTAGAGTTCTGTCTCATGCTTAGCTGGCTTTATTTTCAGTGCAGAGCATTGCTTTCTTAAATTCTTAAATTATAGCCGTAGCAGAACCTACAGTGATGGGTAGACCTGTAGTTGGAAGTCATGCAGAGAGAGAGAGATTAATGGTAATCTTTAGTCCCTAATTGGGAGGTAAGAGGAAGTTCTGGGTAATTTGCATAATCTCACGATACCTATGAAGACACAGTACCTTCCTCAAGGAGTTTCTGAACGAATTTTAAAATGATGGGGGTTACAAAACTCAGTATAGGAGTTGGAGAAGGAAAGACAGAGTTAGTGAATGTGCTATTTAGGGAAGATGAGTATATGCTATAGTGGGGAAAACAGGGATGCATTGTCTAAATGACCAAAGTTCTTTCTTTTCTCACTACTTGTAAGCATCAAAGTAGGTTTCTAATGCAAGATTTAAATGTGTTTGTCAAATGGAAGAACCAATATCTTAACTTTTTATTCTTTCATATAATCTGGAATTGTTCTTTTTCCCCATCCTGCATGTGGAACACTGTTTTTCTAAATCTATAAGATACTTGAATCATGAAAATATAAGACCAGCTTGTGTGATTTTTATTAGTCCTGCTCATTAAACTGGATTCTCAGAATGCAATTCTGAAGTTTTAATAAGGCTATTATTTGGTTTGTGAAGCTACATGTGAAAATATCCCTGAAATAAATTTGGCCCTTCAAGTACAAGACTTGCTTATTAATTTTTCTGTCCTTACTTTTGATTTGAGGGAGAGTAATACAATTACAAAAAAAGTAGATTTGTGATAAAATGCCTAATCAGTTGACTGGCTGGATGAATCGAATGTTCTCTCTGTATTCCAGGTGCATGCCATTCCCCTGCGTTCATCTTGGGTGATGACCTGCGCATATGCCCCCTCTGGAAACTATGTGGCTTGTGGTGGTCTTGATAACATCTGTTCCATTTACAACCTGAAAACTCGTGAAGGGAATGTACGTGTCAGCCGTGAACTGGCTGGTCACACAGGTGAGCATTGGTTCTTGTTGTAAAACTAGTCATCTAGGTAAACCCACAGAGAACTGTGGAAATGTTGAAGCTCATCTACTTAAATCCTTTTGAAAGGCAGGATCATTTCCTGCAAATGTGTGGTGCTCTGCTCAGTTTGATTTTGAATGTTGCAAGTAATGGTATTGAGAGGTAGCTAGTAGCTGTGTTAGTCTGAAGTCAAGCTTAAGTTATACATGGAGAGGCAGAGGGAGCCCATTTCATCCGATGCTGTGAAAAGATGAGCATAGAGCAGTGTATAAAGTGGAATGAGTAATTTGAATACAAATGATAGGAGAGGAGGAGGAATAGGGATAGTGCTGGGAGAGGCAAACAAGTGAAGAACCCATAATAACAAACAGGTCACAAAAGATCTAGTCCAGGTAAGGGAATAAGAATACATAGTACGCTTAGCACAATCCAGTCTGTGGATGATTTATAATTATTATGATATACTACTATTGCTAATAATAGTGCTTCCATTACGTATTTGACATCTGCTGGGAGGGCAATGCAATGGTGCACAGGCAATCCAGGAAGTTTTTGGAGAGCGTTGGAGACAACTTCCTGGTGCAAGTGTTGGAGAGACCACCTAGGAACTGTGCTCTTCTTGACCTACTGCTCACAAATGGGGAAGAATTGGTTGGGGATGTAGAAGTGGATGGCAAGTTGGGCAGCAGTGACCACAAAATGACTGAGTTCAGGATCCTGACAAAAGGCAGAAAGAGCAGCAGAGTATGGACCCAGACTTCAGAAAAGCAGACTTTTTTTTTATTCCCTCAGGGAACTGATGGGCAGGATCTGCAGGAAGGCCAGCCTGAGGGGGAAAAAAGTACAGGAGAGCTAGTTGTATTTTTAAAGAAACCTTACTGAGGGCACTGGAACAAACCATCCTGATGTGCAGGAAGAATAGCAAATGTGGCAAGCAACCAGCGTGGCTTAGTAGAGAACTCTTCAGTGAGCTTAAACACAAAAAGGAAGCTTACAAGAAGTGGGAGCTTAAACAAACAATTTGGGAGTATAAGAATTTTGCTTGGGCATGCAGGGATGAAGTCAAGAAGGCCAAAATGCAATTGGAGTTGCAGCTAGCAAGGGATGTGAAGGGTAATAAATAGGGTTTCTACAAATACATCAGCAACAAGAGGAAGGTCAGGGGAAGTGTAGGTCTCTTACTGAATGGGGGAGGCAACCGAGTGACAGGTGATGCAGAAAAGGCTGGAGTACTCTGTGCCTTTTTTACCTTGGTCTTCACAGGCAAGTTCAGCTCCCAGACTACTGCACTGTGCAGCACAGTTTGGGGAGAAGGTGAGCAGCCAACAGGGGTGAAAGAACAGGTTAAGGATTATTTAGAAAAGCTGGACGTGTACAAGTCCATGGGACCAGATGCAATGCATCCAAGGGTGCTGAGGGAGTCCGGCTGATGTGATTGCAGAGCCACTGGCCCTTATCTTTGAAAACTCATGGTGATTGGGGGAGGTCCCAGACGATTAGAAAAGGGCAAATATAGTGTCTGTCTTCATTAAAGGGAAGAAGAGGATCCAGGGAACGACAAACCAGTCAGCCTCTCCTCAGTTCCCAGAAAAATCATGGAGCACCTCAAAGATTTCATTTCTAAGCACTAGGAGGGGAAGGTGATTAGGAACAGTCGGCATGGATTCACGAAGGGCAAATCATGCCTGACCAACCTGATTGCCTTCTATGATAAGATGACTGGCTTTATGGATGCAGGGAAAGCAGTGGATGTAATATACCTTGAATTTAGCAAAGCTTTTGATACAGTCTCCAATGGCATTCTTACAAGCAAGCTGAGGAAGCATGTGTTGGATGATTGGATTGTAAGGTAGATAAAAAGCTGGCTGGAGTGGCAGGCTCAATGGGTAGTAATCAATGACTCAATGACTCAATGTCTAGCTGGCAGCCATTATCAAGTGAAGTGCCCATGGGGTCAGTCCTGGGGCCGGTTTTGTTCAATATCTTCACTAACGATCTGGAAGATGGGATGGAGCCCGCCCTCAACAAATTTGCGGATGACACCAAACTGGGCAGGGTAATAGATGCACTGGAGGGTAGGGCTAGGATTCAAAGTGACCTAGGTAACTTGGAAGATTGGGCCAAAAGAAATCTGATGAGGTTCAACAAGGACAAGTGCAAAGTCCTGCATTTAAGGCAAAAGAATCCCATGCACCACTACAGCCTAGGGACTGACTTGCTAAGCAGAAGCTCTGCAGAAAAGGACCTGAGGTTTACAGTGGGCAGTACTATGGATACGAGTCAGCAGCATGCCCTTGTTGCCAAGAAGGCTAACAGCATACTGGGCAGCATTAGTAGGAGCGTTGCCAGCAGATCAAGGGAAGCAGTTATCCCCCTCTATTCTGCACTGGTGAGGCCCCATATGGAGTATTGTGTCTAGTTTTGGGCCCCCACTATAGAAAGGATGTGGACCGGTTGGAGGGGGTGCAGCAGAGAGCAATGAAAATGGTTTGGCAGCTGGGAGATGTGACTTGTGAGGAAAGACTCAAGGAACTTGGCTTATTCTGCCTGGAGAAGAGAAGACAGAGGGGATTTGATAGCAGCCTTCAACTCCCTGAAGGGGGGTTCCAAAGAGGATGGAGTTGGACTGTTCTCGGTGGTGGCAGATGACAGAAAAAGGAGCAATGGTCTCAAGTTGTAGCAAAGGAGGTTTAAATTGGATATTGGGAAAAACTTTCTCACTAGGAAGCTGATGAAGCACTAGAACAGGTAACCTCAAGGTGGAGGTGGTGGAATCTCCATCCTTGGAAACTTTCAAGACCCTGCTTGACAAAGCCCTGGCTGGTCCTGCTTTGAGCAGGGGGTTGGACTAGATGACCTCCTGAGGTCCCTCCAACCCTCATTTTCTATGGTACTACTTCTAAAAGACTATTCTACAGTCCAGTGCCAGACAGTTTCTTTAATACTGAAGCCTAGAATGTCAGTCTTTGTCCCATTGGTTCTGTTTACTTCCCTTTCAGCTTGTTGAATAAATCCATTTCCTCCTTCGTGTTTCTATTTTCTTTTCCACCATGATCAAGCTTACAGCAATCGCATCATATCGCCAATATACAGTTTAAAATCCGTTAAACTTTCTTCAGTCCCTTTATCATCAGTGTTGCTTATGAGTGTTACAACTTTTGCAATATTAACACCTGAAATGATCAGTGTAGCTGCTTTACTAATTGCTGCCACGTACCTTTCCAAATAGAGACATTTGTCTCCTGGAGGGGAGAATCTGCTGCCAAGCACAGAATTGCATAAATAGAAAATCATCAAACCCTTGTTATATGTACAACATTGAGGCAGAAAATAGAACGCTTTTGTTCTCAAGTGCATGAGTTCTAACTTCATACATCTTTGTGAGGTCTTAATTCCTCTTTATTTATCTCCTTGTCATTGCTGGTTCATTAGGGAACTGAGGATAAAGCTATATCCTAGAACCTTAGTACAGTTTGGTCTCAGCACCTCATCTTTGAGGAAAGCTGTTTGATTATGAAGGTATATTGTTTTACCACCCCATATCTCCCGTCCTCCCAGTGCCGCTGCCACCAACCCCGAGCTCAACCCTGGCCCAGTCTCTCCACCGGGAAGAGCCTGGCACAGCCCGCAGTGGCAGCCCACCTTCACCCCACGTACAGAGCTGGAGGGCACATGCTCCCCCAGGGGTGCATGCAGCAGCAGGAGCTGCCTGCATCATTGCCTCTCCCCCCCCCGACAAGCCACTCGCAGCTCCATCCCATCCCATGCCCAGCCCCAACTCCCTCCCTTACCACAGAGGCCTCGATCTGTGACCCCTCTTGCCCCTTCCCCCTCAAACAGACTTACCAGCCGAATGCTGCTCTCTCTGCATGTTGGCAATTGGCTTGGCATCGGCCAATATGGCTCGTTAGTAATTGGCCATCATCGGTGTTGGCCTAAATTTTTTTTTTAGTGCACCCCTAATTATTTCCTTAAATGAGATGCATATTTCTGGGTTTTCATTAGATTCCCAAAATGCTGAGGTCTGACTTCCACCCCCCACATACACACACACTTCCCTGCCCCTTTCTCTGCCCCTTCAAGGTCTTCACTTACTTCAGTGAGGACATGGAAAAATTTGGGTATCAGTGAAATTGGATAGTTTCTTAGGAGATCCTGGAATTATTTGTCTTTAAAGCAGACTTTCTTCTTAGAACCTTTGTCCTGAACTTCAGCCTCCAAATCCCAAAGTGATTTGTATATATTTCCCTTTTTTGACTTGTGGGAGTGAAGACATTAGAAATGTCTAGACGCTTTTGAAATACTCTGTCTTACTATTAGCCATGGTATAGTATCCAGTTTTGTGCTCCACCATGACTCCTTTTCAGTGGCTTAGCTTTGCAGCCATATTTCAAAGGCTAATATAACTGGTAGCTAAGGATTTGCCCCCAGAGAATAGCTTTGGGATAGGTGGTCATAAATTATTTATTTGTGCTTTAGGGAAGAGAGGCCAGGAGGGAGAAAGGTCAGAGTATTCTGCATTTCACTATTCTGGGGCTTTTCTAACTTATCAAAGTGGCAGTCATTCCTTGACCCCAGACCAATTCAGAATTGTTGCAACACCGGGGTAGTGGAAAGCCACCCTTCTAGGCATGCTCTCTCCGTTCCTACACACAGAGCACTGCTTACGGTCCGAATTTTTCATCAGTGACCTAGTCTGATAACTAACTCTCGTTCTCAGTATTTCTAATCAAGTGCACTGTGACTGTGAGAACTATGGTACCAAAATAACAGGTCTAGTTTTTGTAACAAGAAAAATCTGATGAGGCAGATAAAATCAGAGGATGGAAGTCTTAGAGAAAAGAAAAATCCTGAGCTTCTCCCCAGCATACAGTCCACAGAAGTTGTAAATGGAAATGAAATGGCTAAAGATGCTTTTGCCTGCTAGAGGAATATACAGCTAAGTAAAGATAGCTGAAAGTTTAATGGGAAGAAATTGGTTCAAAGAGAACCTGTACAGATTCTTGAGGCCCAACTGCAAATAGGACTCCAGTGTTATTTATATAGTGCCAGTCACTTTAATATCTATATGCCTTTAGCTCTAGTATGTTATGTGCTCAGTGCTATATCAGCAGGCTTCTGTTTTCTTGCAGAATCAGTAATAATACCGCCGGGAACTTAAAGGAGGGAATCAGCTTGTAATAAGTCATTTCTTTCAAGGTTGCAGCCCTGAAACTGTGTCATCTTTGTGCTCCCTTTGTTTCTGTAAAGAACAATATCCCAAGATGCAGAAAAACAGTGGCCTCTTACTTCAGAGCCTGCCAGCTTGGTTCTAGAAAAACCTTTAACAGTTCTTAAGAGGAAACATCAGGTGGGCTCTGTGTCTTGCTGGTTTTCTGCCTGATCAAGCCTCAACCTATACAGAGTTAAAGGGAACCCTCTGAAAACTGTTCACTTGAAGGAAGCCACGGTTATTCAGAAATGAATAGTTATTTGTAATCAGGCAAACCTTTCATTCCTTTTGCCTGTTGAAAAGAAGATCAAAAGTGCAAACTGAAATATAGTTTAATAGACTGAATTTCTTTTTAACTGTCATGTTGCTTACACAGCATGAACTTAACACCTTATTCACAGGACAACAACCAAGTATTAGGGCTGTGCGAAGCTTTGGTAGCCGATTTGATTCAGAGGAGATTCAGCCTAATTCGGCAGCTGAATTTCCGAATCCAAATAGAATTGGGAGACCCTTTAATCTCGCCGAATCAAATTGGAAGCCTCCAAATTGATTCAGAGATTCGGCCATAGACTGTGCAGGTAGGCACTAGGTAGTGCTGGCAGGAGCAGCCAGACAAGCCCCAGCTTGAGCCGACAGCCCCAGGAGAAACCATGGCTCGTCCGGCTGCTCCCTCAGCTGCCGGGTCGAGGCAGACAGTGCTGGCAGCCCCGGGAGAAGCTGCAGGGGCTGGAGGGGAATGATTGGGGGGGTTGGGGGATTGAACCAGGAATTGGGGAACAGGAGCTGGGGAGAATGTTTGGGGGCTGGAGGAACGAACAGTTGCTTCCCCCCAGCCCCCGTGGCTTCTCCCAGGGCTGCCAGCATTGCCTGCCTCCCAGTGAGGGAGCAGCCAGACAAGCTGCAGCTTCTCCCAGGGCTGCTGGCTCAAGCCAGGGCTTGTCCGGTTGCTCCCCCAGCTGCTCCCGCTGGCACTGCCTGCCTGTACAGCCTATGGTCGAATAAGATTAGGTGCCAAATATCTTTGAATTCAGATTCGTCCGAATTGAATTGGGACAGTGAATCAAATCACTGTCCCGTCCCCGTCCCGTCCCGTCCCCCCCCAATAGCCGAATCTGAATCAAATACTTTCCACTCCATACAGGCCTACCAAATATCTATTTTAACCAAGCAAACCACGATCCATAAAAAGTGCACTCTTAAGACATTAAGGAGAAATATCGGAGCAGCTGTCACATTGACTTCTGTTGAGTGCCATGATGCAACTTGTGTGTGTTGAAATCCTGAAAATGACTTGAGCAATAAAAGAGCAAGAGCATTATCCTGACAGTGCATCTTAGCTGTTGAGTGACCTCCTTTAGAGATGCATCCTGCAAGTTAGCAATATCAGTAGTAAGCAGTGTGTGGGTTCATGGCTAGGTGAACATGGTCGCTACAGACTGAAAGGCTGTATTTCATTGTTATACAAGTGGCTTGAAAAGGGTGCATCAAGAGGTGATTGTCTTCAGTTGCTTTTGGGAAATCTTTTAATGAACTTCTGGTGCAGGATTAGATAGAATTGCTGCCGTGAGGTTGGAATTGGAGTAACATTTAAGTTGAATATTGTTGAAAAAAATTAATGTTTGTAGGTACAGTGTATAAGAAAATGTTGCAAGTGTAATAACTGCAACAAACTAATTTGAAGCTGGAGTTACTTCTCTTGTGGCCCTTTAGGGATATTCAGCAAACCACAGCACAGTAATATTCAAACCCAGTGCTTTCATATTGCATTTGTATGGTGTGCAAACCCTAAGCATTCGCTCATACATGCTCCTTTTATCTGTTTTACTGACCAAGCGAGCATTTGGGTCCAAGTTGTGATCAGGAGGGTTTGTTTCCCCTCTGCTTAATTTAACCAGTCTCCCCTGTTTTGGAAGTCTTATTGCTCACAATGAAGGATCTCCATCTCTTCTCTCTTCTGCTTAGACTGAATGTTTGTAATGCTTCTAGTCCCTGATGTTTCAAATAAGAGGCTGTCATTAGTCCCATATCCTATCTTGTGACTGTAACCTCATTATTTAGGTCCCTTTGGTCTTTTGTTGAACCATGAAGAAAAGTTCGCTGTTTCTTAGCCTCGGGTTCCTCTTTTTGCTTGGAATAAGCAGTTCAGTAAAATTCAGTTGGCTGTTAGTCATGGTCCTTAACTGGTTATTTTGAGCAATATTGCTGTGGAATTTGACTGTATTTAAAACAGTGCCTTTGTGTTGGACCACTTGCTGAGGGATGCAGACAGAACTGCTGTGATTTCTGTGTTTTTCCTTTTACAGGTTACTTGTCATGCTGCCGTTTCTTGGATGATAATCAAATTGTTACCAGCTCTGGAGACACCACTTGGTAAGCGCTAAAACTGTAACGCTAGTACCTAGTAATGGATCTCTGTTTATAAATCTACAGGGGAATGTGCCAGAGTATTTACTGATTGCAGGAGAATTATATGTATAGATCTGTAAAATATCTTCTCTATATAGAATCTTCCTAGGAAGTTTTTGATGATGTCTAATGGCTAGCATCTCTGAATAAGTAATGTGTGAATAGAAGAATATCCTGTTAAGGCTACAAACAAATTTCCTTGGAGTTATGTATTTTTTTAATAAGAGTACTTGTGTGGGGAACCAGATAAATCCATAATTTTAAACTTGCCTTTGTCAAGCCATTGGCTTTTTCTTACAGCTTAGGACCTGACCCATCCATACGCTAACTAAATTTGACAACTGATTTATATTAACCCCAGCAAGGAATGCAGTATTTTTAAATTGCCATACTTATATGCCATACTACTTATAAGCAAGTCTGTAAAAAAAATTGTTGAGGACACCTCTAGGAAATTGAGCAAAAAATCAGAGCTTGGAAAATGGGATTCAAAACACTTCGGAGCTGTCCTGTAACAAAAGTTAGTGGGGGACTGATAGATGTTTGACACATGAATATTGCTCCCTCAGAACTCTACTGTTTGGTGAGTCAGAGCATTAAAAAAATTCATAATCAAATTTTTATTAGAGGATTTTATGTTTATAAATACTAAATACACACAATTAGTGAGCATCTTAGTCAAATGTTTACAGATATACAGTTTTTGGTTTTGATGCTAATATTTTTTTAAATTTTCATTTAAAAATTGACTCAGTTGACAGGTATTGGTTTTTGCTGATTTTAGGAGATTGATTCTTTCATTTTAATTTTTAAGATTGAATGTGTAGTTTTTCGATCATAGACAGCTGTTGGCTTTCACCAGGAGATGTTGAATGAATCTGAGACTTCTCTTGATGTACATTAGAAAAAAAACTGAATCGCATTAGATTTAAATAAGAATTTTCCCATATAATTGTTTTGAGTAATTGTAGAAATTGTCCTTAAAATGGTAAGAGAAGTGAATTTAAAGGGAACATAACTGAACATAGATTTGAGAAATACTGAATTACGAACCAGTTTCAGCCTTTTTCAATAAGCAGAATATTCTGTCAACAGTATATACCCTCCATACTCTGATATCAGAGATCAGTGAAAACACTCGGGAAGTTGTCTTCTATAGTAATCGTCGCTTAATATATTTGCTTCAATGGTGTTAGACTACCTCTTGTTTTTAAGCCCCTTACTCTATAGTTTGAACACTGCTGCCAGGGCCAACAATAAGAGGTGGAAGAAACCTTGTTAGAAACCGTTTTTTGTTGTTTTCTTTAAGGCTCAAGATTTTCAGCAGCTATGTTCTGTGTTTTGTGTTTACACTAACAAGTTACTTGACGTCCTTTGAATCCATTGGAACTAGTGTAATAATACCAGATGCTCCCAAAGTTAGTTGATGTCCTAGATGTTAAACAATGTATTTGTTGCCTTTTAATGTAATCCCCTTAAACACCTTCTAAATCAGTAATCTTCTGTTTTAACAAAACAATTCATATCAACCAAACGGTTATGTTGAATGACGGTACCTCCTTCATCAGTACTTCCCCAGTTAGCAGTCCTTAAGGCAGTCATTTTGAAGTCCTCGCAAACCTTCCACTCCAGTTGTGCTGAGGTTTACATGGAATTCATTAGTATTAAAGCATTTCTGAGTGTAATGGGATACTTTTTAAAAATGAAAAATAACTGTTAAAATTATTGTTTGTTCAAGACTGTGTAACTATCAGGTTCTGATGATGTTTTGCACTAACTTTTTACAAAGCCCAAATTGGTCACTTTGCTGTCAAGTGTGTGCAGTATTCTGGCTTTCCCTTTTGTCATAGCCATGGACAAGAGATTTCTCTCATGTTGGCCTTGTTTGTATATATACATCTGCAAAGCAAATGATATACAAGAAAATCATTTAATTCCTTTTTTCCAGTTGATCTCTTCTTATGTGGGAGAAGCAAGCCACTCTCCTTATTTTTAGCTAGAGAGTAGAGAAGAAGCTTACATTTTGTAGCTGTGGCTGGATTTGGTTAGGAATGCAGAGTAAAATTTCATATCACAGTAGGAAGTCACTGTTGAAGATGGACATAGAATTAATCATTCTGCGCACACAGTTTGCATATCCAGGGTAGCCTAAAACAAAACAGTTTTCAGCAGTGGCTCTGATCCAAAGCAGAATTCTATGTTGGGCTCACCCACTGTGATGCTGGACAGACAAGCTAAATGCCCGTCTCCTTAATGTTTTGGAGAAGTCTGCTGTGTTGGGGATTATGGAATCAGTATTTCATCCTTTTCTCATACCTTTTTGATTCTCCTTGTGATCTTTCAGTTAATGGGGAAGTCGGGGCACTGGCAGTCATTAGAAGGCAGTGACTTTTTCTGGCTGTATTAAACACCCTCAATAAGTTTTTAAAAAAAAAAAAAATGGAAGCACCAACTCAGCCTAAACTATAGAAGAAACAGTGGACACTATTCTGAAACATCCCAATGCTAGTATTAGAAAACAAAGCCACTGTTGCATTGTAGAACTCCGTGTCTGTATAATGATGAACATAAATCTCCCTGTTCACCATACACTGCTAGTAGTCTGCCAGCTGTCTAGCTGATAATTTTGCCTAACTAGGAATAATGTGGCTTCATCTAAAAAACAAAACAAAACAAACAAAAAAAAAAAACAACAACAACAACAAAAACCACCCAACAAAAAAACTGGTCCTTTTTAAAATGAAGTTTGAGAGCTTTTTAGATGCACTGTGTATAACTGAGTATGTGACATACCAAAAGAGCTGAGGGGTAAGTCTCTCTTAGTCTCTCATGATTTAGTTACTTTTGCTTTCTGTTTTTAGGCAAGGAAAAGTGACGTAAAAAGCCAAGGTTGAGGCTAACAACCCTTGTCTAACACTGTGTGCGACTTTGTAGTAACTTGGTACAAAACTTATTTTAACAAAATCAACTTGATTTGACTACTCTAATTTGTCTCTTCTTTTTTTTTTCTCTCTGTTCACCCTATCAAGCGCCCTTTGGGATATAGAAACTGGTCAGCAGACAACCACATTCACTGGGCACACTGGAGATGTCATGAGTTTGTCCCTTGCTCCTGATGCCAGGTGTTTTGTTTCTGGTGCCTGTGATGCTTCTGCCAAACTGTGGGATGTTAGAGAAGGAATGTGTCGGCAAACCTTCACTGGCCATGAATCTGATATCAATGCCATCTGTGTGAGTATGAGTGCAACCTGAGATGGGATTAAAGTTACTCGTATAAATACATGCTCTGCAGGCAGCTACTAGCAGTTAACATGTAGTACATCTTTTGAGCATTGCAATGTACCATATTTATCTGAGTCTAAGACAACCCTGAATTTAAGACAATCCCCCAGTAATTTGATTCTGTAAGTGGAAAAGTTGTACATTTGTTGCAACTTTCCATGTATAGAATCTAATTATTGGGGGATCATCTTAATTTTTTTCCCTACCACCACTGCAGGAGGGAAAGAAGTGGCAGGGGTTCAGGCTGTGAAGGAGGCAGTAGCTGACCATGTGGTAGGGCAGGTGGGTGAGGGAATCAGTAGGGGCAGGCAGTTTCCACCTGTCATCACCCCCTCCACTTACCCCTCTTTGTGCACACCCCCAGCCTCTGGCCCTGGTCTCCCTCTTGCATTGCCTCTGCCACCTTCTGCAGCCTCGCATCCCCCCCTCCCCACTGCAACCTCTGCTCCCTTTCCCCCGCTTCACCCATGCAGCCTCTGTCCCCCATCTCCCTCCTGCATTGCTTCTGGACCCCCCACCAAATCACCCCCATTGCAGTCTCTTGCTCCCCTCCAGCCCTTGCTTTTGTTGGGGTGCCTCTCTGTCTCCACTCCAGCCTTGAGCACGGAGCATGGATCTAACTTAACCCTGTACCAGCTGTGTGGAGGCAGCATGGCTGCTATGGGGCTATGCTGTGGGCCCCAAGTTAGAGCAGGGACAGAGCCTGCCAGCACCCAAGCAAGGGTAAGCAGAGGACAGGGTGGTGGCAGGGAAGAGAGGCTTCGGGGGAGGGGAGGAGAGGAGGCCAAGATTGTGGGGGGTGGGGATGGGGTAGAAGCAGTGGGGAGGCTGAAGCTGCAGGGGAGAAGAGGCAAGGGTTAAAAGAGGTGGGAGGCAGCAGCTGTGGCTCTGGCCCCAACCCACAGTTGAAACTGGAACCAGAGCCGGAGCAGCTGCCTGCCCCTCTTCTGCTGTGTACTCAATTCCAAGGCAAGGGGAATTAAGTAAATACAGTATTTTTTCCTAATTTGTTTCACAGTTGAGGAAACTACTATAATAAATTCACTAGACTTTAAGTTGATTGAAGTAAATGCCAGGAGTGATGGGTTGTGGCTTGAACCTTACATAATACTATCAACAAATACGTAGTAGTATTGTTTTCTGTATTAAGAGAGTTTTAAGTGAGTAGCTAGTCTTGCTAGGGCCCCTGTAATAGAAATGGCTGCTCTTTCTCCTCCCCCCCACCATTATACAGATAAAGAAACAGAGGCAGAAAAGGTGACTTGCTGAATGACACACAAAAACCTGATGGGATGTGTCTATTATTAGTTCCTAGATCGGGGTGCGCAAAATATAACCTGTGGGTCAAATTTGGCCTTCCAGGGGATTTTACTCTGGCTTGTGGTGGGGGCAGCCTGAGCCGTGGCACATGTGGCCAGTCCCACCACTCCCAGATGTACAGCAGGGCTGGGAGCCAGATTCACTTCCTGGCAGCCCCTGCAGTTGCAGGGGGCTGCTTCCAGTTGCCTCTGACAGTCTGTGCTGCTGGACCCAGCCCTGCTGCCCAGGCACCCTGGCCATCAGGTTCACACCTACTGCCGGTGATGCCAGAGGAGTAGGCAAGTGGGCAGGGTCTCCGTGGAGACCGGCTTGGGACCCGCATGGACAGGGCATGCTTGGCCAGGCAGATGGAATGGGACCACAGACAGGTGGCAAGCAGCATTGAGGAGGAGAACAGGCAGGGCTGGGGCTGGGATTTGGATCATAGGACAGTGACAGAATGGGGCTGGGGCAGAGCCACAATCCACTGCCTGCATGTCCTGGTGGCAGGTGCCAGTTCTGGGAGCAGGGGAGTGAAGGGAACAGATTGCTGCTCTTCCCGGAGTCTGGCCCCACACTCACAGCTCTGTGATTCTGATCCCAGCCCCAGCCACCTATCCTGCTCACAGATGCTACCATTCCTTACCTGTCTGTGGTTCCATCCCATCCACCCGGCTGAGTGCATCTTGCATAAGTGGGTACCAGTCCAGTCTCCGTGAAGACCCCAGGATTGCTGAATGGTAACAGTGTAAAGCCAGGGGCCAGAGCAGAGCTGCAATCCACTTCTTGCATGCCCCTGCCCCTGAAACCAGTGCCCATTGCAGGGGTGTTCAGGGGGTGGATCACAGATTACAGCTCTGTCACAGGCCCACAATCCTGATCCCAGCTCCACCCACCCATCCCACTCTGGATGCTGCTCCCCACCTGCCTGTGGCCCCATCCCTTCTGCCTGGCTGAGTGCAGGGCAGAGCTATTTAAGTAGTTTTGGTGAGCTGTTGTGGGCAGGGTTGGGGGTGGGATGCTGACCTGGCCTCCAGCAACTTCAGCCTGGAAAAGCACAGGCTCAGGGGGGGCGTGGTGGCTGCCTATAAGTACATAAGGGGTGTGCATCAGGATCTGGGGGAACGCCTGTTCGCCAGAGTGCCCCATGGGATGACAAGGTCAAATGGTCACAAACTTCTCCAAGACTGTTTCAGGCTGGACATAAGGAATAACTTCTTTACAGTCTGAGCCTCCAAGGCCTAGAACAGACTGGGGGCAGCCTGAGCCGTGGCACATGTGGCCAGTCCCACCACTCCCAGATGTACAGCAGGGCTGGGAGCCAGATTCACTTACTGGCAGCCCCTGCAGTGGCAGCTCCTTCCAGCTGCCTCTGCCAGTCTGCTGCTGGACCCAGCCAGCACAGACTGGTGGTGCAAGCATCTACAACCAGGTGGTGCAAGCACCTACTCTGGACTCCTTTAAGAGTCAATTGGATGTTTATCTTGCTGGGATACTGTGACCCCAGCTGACTTCCTGCACCTGGGGCAGGGGGCTGGACTTGATGATCTTCCGAGGTCCCTTCCAGCCCTAATTTCTAAGAAATATATCAAATCATGAACTCACCAAAACTCCAAGTGCCCCTCCAGACCAAATAATTTCTCACCTCTGTCCTGGATTCTAGTTCTAGGCTTCAGACCCTTGTTGCCCAGCTACAAAATAGGCATTTTATCTCTATGGTCAGCTACTGTAGAACTGGTACAAAATCTTATAAAATATTTTATAACGCTGTCTTGTCTTTTTGTTTTTAAATAGTTCTTCCCAAATGGCAATGCATTTGCCACAGGCTCAGATGATGCCACATGCAGGCTCTTTGATCTTCGTGCTGACCAGGAACTTATGGTTTATTCACATGACAACATCATCTGTGGCATCACTTCTGTAGCATTTTCCAAGAGTGGACGTCTTCTCTTAGCTGGTTATGATGACTTCAACTGCAATGTCTGGGACACGCTTAAAGCTGATAGAGCAGGTAAACAGCTTGTCAGTTCATTTTAAAAGCAACTGGGTCCTCCTAAAGGGCTGGTGTATTGAAGATGCTTTAATTAAACATTGGCAAAGTGCTCTTAGCCTATCCAACCTCACTTTTTTTTAAAGTTCAGTGATTTGCCCAAGGCATATTTGTCTGACACGTGTCATAATTAGTTTGCTAGTTCTTTAAATGTTAGTGAAGAATATGAAAGGTTAATGTTTGCCTACAGAGTCCTGTAAAGAATGATGAGTGAGAAAATTAAACGTATTGTCAGCTTCCAAGGGCTTATTTTCTGCTTGGAATGTTTAAAGTTGATGTTTTATCAGCAGGGATCCTGGTTTTCCATTTGCTGTGGAAAAACACAGATTTTTCTCCTTTTAAAGGAGAAAAATGCGGGAAACCACAGGTTTCCTCTTGCAGTCTGGCAGAGTTCCAGTCTGCAAAGGGTTATTTGGGGCTGGGGGGAGCAGGACGCAAGAGGCACCATGCACACACGTGGCCAGCACTACAGCCAGGCAGTGGTGGAGAGTAGCTCCCCCAGCTGCCTGCAAGTAAGTCTACGGGGGGGGGGCAAGGGGAGCAAAAGCAACACAGGGTGGGGGTAGATTGAGGTGACCATGGTGAGGGAGGGAGTGGGGCTAGGTTGGTGGATGAGGTTGGGGTACTGCCCAGCCAGATCAGGGCCAGGGCAGGAATGTGCAGCTGCAGAGCCCAGCTGAGGGAGGGGGATGGAGCCACAGGTGCCACCAAAGCAATGTGCGCCCCCCCTGCAGCAGTTGGGGGACACACCTCCGCTCTGCTCCTGCTGCTGCCAGGTGGGCTGGGGGCACCTTGCCATGGGGGTGCAACTTGCACAAGGCTCCCAGCGATGGTGGTGGTGCCACCAGTCCTCCCCACCCCATGCCAGGTCCTGCCTGCTGGACTGCAAAGGCCCCTGTGGGGAAAGCAGCAGGGCAGGGAGCCCCGAGCACCACAGGAAAGCCTGCATTTCCCTCCCCACTGCGGACTCTGCTTGCCTCCACTGACTCTGGGGGCAGGGGCATGCAGGAAGTGCTACTTACTGGGTGGGGGTGGGGAGGGCCGAGCCATGCTCCAGCCACAGCTGCCATTGCCTCCCTCATGCAGCACCTGGCACTTGGGTGCTGCTGGCATCCACAGAGCAGGCAGTGGGCAGCATACAGCCATCGTGTCCTGTAGCCCTGGCAGCTAGGGGCCCCTTCTGGTAGGGGTGGGAGGAGCAGGGGGCTGTGGGTCAGAAGTGAGGGGTCCAGCGGGGGGTAGGGGGGCTGCAAGGTGGGAGTAAGTGGCACCAGCAAGGTAGGGGACTATGGGTCAGATGTGAGGGGCACTGGCAGGTCCAGGAAGCGGTGGGTCAGGAGTTTGCGGTTTGGGAGTGAGGGGGATGGAGGGTGGGGGTGCTGTGGGTTGGGAGTGAGGAGCACTGGCAGGACCAGGGGGCTGTGGATCAGGAGTGAAGGGTACCAGCAGGGCTTGGGGAGTTGGGGGCTGCAGGTCAGGAGGGAGGGGCACCAGCAGGGATGGCAAACTGTGGCTTGGGAGTGAGGCATGGGCAGGGCTGCTCTGTGCCACAAAGCAGGGGAGCGGGGGGGCAGCTGCAACTGGACCTGCATCCTGGTGATGGAAGGGGGAGCTTTACAAAATGAATCTGAAAACCAAAATCAAACACCAAAATGTATAGGTATTTAGAAGTTATTTTATTATTATGATTGGGGCACTGGTAGGCTTCCAAATTGCTTTTTAAATTGTAAATGTAACAATTTACAATAGTTGAAAACATTGTGTTCAACTAATACGTGTGTGTGTGTGTGGTGCTGTTTAATTTAAATCATGGAAAAACACATTTGGGGGGGGTTTCATCAGAGAATTTGGGATTTCTAAATAGGGAAAACCAGGATCTCCTTTTATCAGGCACCTACTATTTACCACTTCATGTATGGAGAGGGCCTGCAGCCATTTAACATTAAATACAAAGCTCATTCTCATGTTGTTGTGTTCATAGCTGTATATGACTCCTCTGAGTACCCACACTTATTTTTGGTAGTGTAACTGCCAGGGATTTGTGGTCCTTTTTTTTTAATAGTCTCAAATCTTCTCGCAGCAAACATTTCTATACTTAGTTAGTCTCTACTTACCTCAGATTCATTTTGTAAAGCATCTGTATAAATTATGTTTAGTTTGCTAGGTTACTTGTATGCCTTGGAAGAACAAGCTCATAAAAGTGAAGAGTTTACTATGTTACTAATAGTCTGCTTCATACTGGTGCCTGTACTTATCCCACTTAACATGACAGTTTTTCCATAAGTCACACCTTAATAACACGTAATTATGGTTGATATGAAATGTACACTGATTAGGGAAAAAGGGCTGTGTAACTTAATTTAGGAGGATTAGGGAGGAAATTGGTATTAACATTCAGCAAAACTGTAAATATAGATACCATCAGTACCAAAAGTAAAATGTGAACTAATGCTAGAACGGGAAGATACGAGGTATTTTACTAATGCAGTCACGTCAGAGTTTTTGCTCATGAGGACAGAATGCCAGGAAGAAGAGGAACTAGCCTAGATCCGTGTAGAAAGGGTTTCTAATCCTTGAAACTCAGATAGAATCATGTCACTGCTGTAAAGGAGGGTGTGTTCAGAATCAAGAAGAAACCCGAACAGTTGCTTTAACCTAGACACCAGCAACAAAATTCTTGGCATGACATTAATGTTTTCTCGAACAGCAATGCTGACAGGGTTTGCTTCTACCCATCTTCTCCAAATACAACTGATATCTTTACAGCGCTGCTGTGAGCTGGACCTGTGGCAGCTCATTTCATTTGGTGTGTAACGTAGACTTCTTTTTAGTTTTCAGTTCTGTATGGGATATAATGGTACCAAACACGCATTTTGCATTTAAATGTATAATAGGTGTGGTTTTGTGGGTTTGGGGTTTTTTTGTTTTTTGTGTTTGTTTGTTTTTTGGGAGGGGGGAGGGGAAGGTTGTGAAAAGGCACCCATGTCAAGGATTCCCTACATTGGTGGGTTTTCAAGGTCTAATCGTGATTTTTTCAGGCTATAAATATACATGCAAGCATAAACAAATTGGTTGTCTAGTGAGCCAAAATTTATTGGGGATAGGTTGAGAATTTTCTCTCTAAACGTTTAGTCTTCCTTATTACTGGCTTTAAATCAAGAGCTGTAGAAATAAAGCAACTTGCTGTTTGCTTTGAGAATCCATTTAGCAGACAAAACTATGATGCCTTTCATTTTTGGACTACCTGCTGGACTTCATTTCATAGATCTTGTAACTCTCAGCCAGCACTGATGCCAACACTAAAATGATTCTTTGTGATAAACGATTAGGAGGGCAGTCCAAGCAGATTAGTTGCTGCTATGGTTTTTCTATTAGGAAAACTATATTTGGTCCCTGTTTTGAAAATGAATAGGAGGAAATGATGAGCTTGCTGGCCTTTACAAGTGACCTAACAGTTGTTCCATTTCCTGGGTTGATTTGATCCTTGATTTCATAACAGTTGTCCTAATACAGTATGATTGGTACTTCCATTGCTTACCAGTGTGCTAGACAGTACTTAGGACGGACTTAAATAAAAAGAGAATGCTCTTCCATTCTCATAAAATAAATAAATGTAACCTCGTCCTGTTACGGCTCTTTCATTAGGATGCTGAGCTTATCTTGGGAGTCATGGATTTTGTGGTTTCCTGCTTGGTTTGGATTGCTGCTTGTGGGAGGGGCAGTAGCAGCTGCATGCCCTTCCTTCAAGGGAACTGGGAGGGAATAGGTAAAAAGATTCACAATCTCAGTTGGTCTGAGGACTCCTGTTTGGTGCCTGTCCATATCATGTGGTGGAGGTGTGTTGAGGGTGAAGTCTGCACCTCTGTACAGTCAGTGAGTTTTACTAATAGTCTTAGAATTCTTTGCTTCTCAGAAGACCTTACTTCGATACGTCAGCAGTGTTCAGTGGATACCAACTAGAAATTCCTTCTACTTGGAAGGGTTTTACACAATTTCAGGGCTTCATTTTAATTGGCAGCCCAACTTCTGACAGTGTTGATGCTTTCTTTTCAAATTTTATAGGCCATGTGGGATCCCTTTCATGTTGTTTTCCCCAAATGAAACACTATTTAGTTGTAGGTAAGCTAATAATCATGATGGCATCTGTACTACTTCTACAGTGTATTCTAGAATAGCTTTCAGTCATTTCATCAGCTATAACAGCAGGCTTCCTGTATCGTAGTATGAATTTTGAAGAGGTTACCAGCTACTTGCACATTTTATGATGTGCCTGTTGCTCTAGGCGTGCCCAATTCAATGCTGGGAGACTTTTCTGATGCTACTACCAACGCTTGCTTATTTTTATATAGTAAACTTGATGATGATGCCTTTTCAGACTTGCAAATTAAGATTCGTAGAGTGGTAATCTCATATTAGAAGCCCCAAGTTAACATTTAGAAATTTAAACTCTTAAATGTTAACAGGTTGAATGAATGCTAGCACAAATTTCCTTTGTGCCCCAAATATGATGGAAGAGAGCTCTAAAACGTGAACAGAGTGAGCCATGCAAACAGTGTGTTGCAGATAGGGTCTTAAAATTAAGTCTCCTAACTGAATTACTCCAGATTGGGATTTTGTGAAATATAATGAGCTGAACAAGGCTTGAACATTGGTTCTTTTTACATTCTTTTCACTGAGTGCCCTTTATTTAAAAAAAAAAAAAAAAAAAAGAGAGAGAGATTTTTTTCCCTTCTTTCAGGTCTCCCTCAATTTCATTTTTTTTAAAACTATGCATCTATTGACTAGTAACATTTCCATACTAGCAAATCCAATGCATGAAGGTGTCAAGGCTTCATCTTATTATATGTACTTGTAAATATAAAAGAATGATCCAATTGTGTGGGACTCCAAGAAAGATTGTGTTTGCTTAAAATACTTTAGCCTAATTTCTCCTTCTTACAAAATCCTAGACTATAAAAAAAAAAATTAGCAGACTCTTAGGCTATAAAACAGGAAGTAATTGAGCTGGTTAGCAACCCAGTAATAAATATGGCAAACAATTCTTGTCAGCTAATTTTTTGGAGTGATGACCTCATAACTCACAAAAGACTAAGATTGTTCCTAGCAAATAAATCCTGTGCTTAACACTTCATATCCTGTATTTGAGAGTCCCTTGCCGACCACATCAGTTATTTCCATGTGAATGTGCCAAAAATCTGAAGACAATCAAAATCAGACATGTAAATATTTAACCAAGTTAGCATTCCATTCTTCTGATTTCCAGGGTATCCAGTCCAAACACATGAGCTCTCCTTGTGTTGCTTGAAATGAAACACACAATCATCAAGCCTATCTAATATGCATATGGGTTTTTTCATTAATTTTTAGGTGTCCTTGCTGGCCACGATAACCGTGTCAGTTGCTTAGGTGTGACTGATGATGGCATGGCAGTGGCAACAGGTTCATGGGATAGCTTCCTCAAGATCTGGAACTAAAGTCTGTAAGTATTTGGTTAATTAAGTATGCTCCTTTTTTTCAGCTTATAATAGCAGCAGTCCTTTCTTTCCCTGTTCAAAACATAGAGTGTAATTGTATTTATGGTGCAAACTTAATTTGGATTAGAAAAATAACTCTGAGTGCATCTACACGTGTGCTTTACTGCAGACTAGACCAGTTGGCTTCATAGTAAAGCATCACAGTTTACGTGTGTGCCAGTACTTGACTGTGCCGAAATGTGTGGATGCTGACCATGGGTGTACATTGTGCCTGTCAGCCCAGCCAGCTAGGGGCCAGCTTCACCCTGGCTCAGATTGCTGCTGTCCTGGGCACACGTGTAGATGCTGTGCCCTAGAGCAGTTGACTCCGGCTCAAACTGCTCAGAGTTTATTGCATCACATGACTTGCATGTGTAGATGCACCCTCTGAAAACATTATCAGTTTTTAACTTCCTGCAGTTCATTTAGGCTTTTAAAATTGCTGCTTGCCTAGGGAAAGCAATGTGTTTAGTGGGCAAGTGAAAAGCGTTCTGGGGGTTTTAATTATCATGGAAAAGGCAAGTGTGTCGTTTTCAAACCCAGCAGGTAAATGTCATGGATGCAGATTTTGGTGGGAAGGAGGGCGGATATGAAAGAAGAGAGGTGGGGAACAGTAAAACCAGACTAATATCAATTCTACCAGTAACCTTAGAATTTGAGCTTAGCATATCAGAATGTAAAACTTAACATAATTTTTTGTGTGTTAGAAAGAGCAGCGGACTCCACCGTGACTGGAAGACTTTTCCAACAGTTGAAAATTTAAAACAATAGCATATCCAATCCAACCATACTAACTTGGACCCCCATCCTCCCCAACTGCAAAGGGCAACATCTTTTCCATCTCCTATTGCTGAAATGAAGAGCACAATTACCTTTCCAAGAAGAATTTCTGTGGTTGTAACCAAAATGAAATTGTGCATTCCTTTTGGGACCATATTTTTGTCTTGAATTTAGAAAAAGAAACACTATCATAAAAGCATGTCCAGAAAATAAACTTGAGCGTAATTGTGAAACAGAATTAGCTTTCACTGTAGTTTCCAAGTTAAAGTCCAGGACTTTGTTTTCTTTCTCACGGTTTCAAATTTTGAAGTCATGTTTGTAGCAAGATTTTTTCACATTTCCTTTTTAAATACATTTCTTTATGGTCAATAATTGAGCAGAACAAGGGAGTCCTAACCCAGTGCATCTGGGGTTGTTAATGCTGTAAATTTAGTCCCTAATTTTTTTTATTTGTCTAGTGTCACAAATAATTGTTGCACAATACATGGCGCATATAGAATAATGCTAAGAAGTAAGGTAACCAAGCACATGCTGTACAAGGTATTGAATGCTTGTTTCAAGAACATTTCACCTTTTATGGGTAACAAACGCAAACTCTCAATCCCTTCCCACCCCACTGATATTTTTTTTTTTTTTTAAATCTACTTTGTGTTTTTGTCCACTTGGAAGGGCAGTTTATATATCCTAACACTACCCCGTAGTCTCCCCAACCAGGAATCTCTGTTTTCAAAAGAGACCTGTCCTACACTTGGGTATTCAGTCAATTCTTTGTGTATGAAATGATGTACAAATCAATGTTTTGAAAATAATGATCTTGAACTTTCTAAGTTAAACAAACGAAAACTTTTTTTGATTGTTTGCCATATTGGGTGGGTTTACTCTTAGAATCGCATGCTGTAGAAATGCTAAAAAGTGCATATTGGACTAAGTCCTTAGATGTTTTTTTCTTTAAAGAAATAACCTGTTTAAAAACTGTAACCATTGCCGCTGTATTCATTTATTGTTGCTACTCTGTGCATAAATCTATGAAGAATTCAAGTACAAAGCTATGCACGTTTTGGAGTAGCGTGATTAAGTCACCTCTTTTTTTTTTTTAATTTTTTTTTTTTAAGAAAACAGCCTGTTCAAACAATTGCTGTCAAAGATTCTGGGGTGTGGGAAGAGGGAACCCAGACCATTTTCTTTATAAAATAATTCCTCACAGCCCATTCCTCTTGTAGGACAAGTCCTTTACATCTGATTAGAATCACTTTTGTAATGAACAGGTTTTCCTGGCTTTCTTTTCAAATAAAATGATAAAAGCAGCAGCGTTTGGACAGCAGATTGTTCTGTTAAACTCTCTTCTCCTCCCTAGCAGCAGTAGTGGCTTTTCTCCATTCTGTTTTTTCTGCAACATTCTGTACAAAAAATGTGCTGTAATTGTGCGTTAGGCCTGGATTTGGCATAAAGAAGATGAATTCCCTCTTTCTCTCTTCCATGAAACTATTCTGTAGAGCTTTCTCCATACCCTGTATCCCTCTTCTTCACCTTTTGTATTTAATTTTAAAGTCAGTGTACTTCAAGAAAGCTGGATGCAAGATAGATACTATATTAAAATGTAATGTTATTTAAGATGTAATAAAGCAGTTTGACATGAGTTTTGTGCCTGATTTGTTCTCCAGCTTTATTGTCCTGATAGCCAAACTCCCTGACTGGGCAGATTTGGAGTGATGAATTCAAATGGTCTGTATTGTGCCAGCCTAATTAATCTTCCATTAATTTCAGCATTTTAAAGTGGTGGTGTTTTTCTTCCTTGCTGCCTGCAATCTCATCAGCAAACCTTGGATTATGTTGTGTAAGATGCTTAAAAAGTTGCATGTTCCCATTTTCTCTGAACAAAGAGATTCTGCTTTAGTGTCTTAGTGGCAAACACGGAGAGGTGTGTAGGGACTTAAACTGTTTCATCATCTCTCAGCCTTCTGGGTGCTGACTGAAACAAACAATGTTGATACACAGTTACTATTAGTGACTATCTGGGATTGTGGAATACCTGCTAACATTGACTTATTTAAGGATGTAGTAAGTATCTGGAGTTCAGCAGCAGCAAATATTTTTTTTTTCCCTTGTTAAATATTTAAGAGAGACATTTTTCTATTTGACTTCTAGAACTAGCTGAGAACTTAATCAAAAAATGCTGGTACAGGCAGCTCTCAGACTTACGACACAATCAGTTCCTGCAAACTGTGTCTTAAGTTGAAATGTCGTAACTCGGAACTGATTTTCCCATAGAAAACAATGTTATAAATGGGGGATTTGTTCCTGAAGGCCCAATACCCTATTTTCACCAAAAATAACCTAGAATTTTGTACTTGATATAGCTACATTAATGTTTTTATATTGCAAATAGCAATCACATTGATTTGGAAGGACTTATTTGAGGTGACTTTGGATTTTTTGAAGGGCTCTTGGCTGGATTCTTCTCAGAAGTCTTGGCTGCAGGTTTTTCTGGAGTCTTGTCTGCTTTCTTAAAGTGTCCAAGGAAGTTTGGACAGATGTTCTCCAGGGAGATGGGCGACACAGTGAACTTGTTCACTGGCGTGGCATCGGATCAAGCATTGTAAAGTCGAAACCGATGTCAGAAAGGTGAAATGGTGTCAATTTATAAAAAGTATGAAATGTTGTAACTTGAAACGTTGCAAGTCAAGGACTGCCTGTAGCTGTTCAAGCTTAGCCCTCAAGTGACGGTCACTAGCAAATGGATCATTTGATGCTCCTAGCCAAAGTGTTTTTGAATGGTAGATACTACAGCAGGGGCTGGCAACCCCTGGCACATGTGCCAGAGTGTGGCACGTGAAGATATTTTGCTTGGCATGCTAGCCCTTGGGGTGGATAATGGGGAGCTGTTTGGGGCCTGATCGTTCTTGTGGTAGCGCAGCCCCAGCCCCTTCCCCATCATCCACCCCAAGGCGCACATGCACCCACTGGCAACGAACTGGGCCAGGGCTCCATAGGCCCCGAGGCAGCTGCTTACAGTCTCCCTGCTACTTGCCGTGAGTAGCCTAGGCTTCATGGCAGGGGCCTGCCCAGATGCACACATGCTTCAGGGCGGATGATGTGGAAGGGACCAGCGCTGCGCTGCCGCAAGAAGGATCAGGCCCTCTGCGGCTCCCCCATCTGCCCCGGCACACCAACATCTTGCAAGTAGACATTGCTAGGTTTTTTGGCACTCTGTCCAAAAACATTGCTGACCCCTGTACTACGGTACCTAGATTTGCAACTGCTGAGGTAAGAAATAAAGGCAATCAATATTTAATTATTTAGTTTTCTTACCTTTCTTTAGTTGGAAAAGTGTCTCTCTATATTACAGTTAGAATACACGTTGCGTGTGTATACCAAATTTCTATACCAGCTGGGAGTGTGGTCTGTTGCATTCATTTACTAGGAGGGACTAACTTTCAGCATGAGGCATGAGCTTTCATAAATGACCTACTTCCTCAGATGCTAACATACTAGTTCACTTACTAGTTGCTTTCTTTAAAATCTGACACTAAGATGGAAAGTGGGTGGCAGCATTAAAAGGAAAAATAAAGCCATGTAGACTGAATTGGTGTTTGTGTGTAAATACCTATATGTCCATCAAAAATATTAACAGCCCAATAGATAGTGACTTCTAAAAAAAACTGTTGTAAATGGCAGCTGTTTTCTAATCCAGCAAAGTTAGTTTAATATTGTCTTTTAGTTAAAAGAAGTTATGTTTTTCATTCAAGTTAAAAATGGAATCTCTTCAAATCTCTTTTCCAAAAAAAAAATAAAAAAAAATCCAACCCCATTGCTTGGGATAAAACTAAACATGAAACATTTCAGCCCAAAAGATTTTCAAAAGTCTGGAAAAGCTGGTTGTGTAATGAATTGAGTTGCAGTCTTAAATGTGAGCTTTTGAAACTCTGAACTTGTGGCTGGAAATGCTTCAAATTTAATTTTAAATCTTGCAGTTCCAAGTGATATTGCCATTTCTTTCCATTCCCTTGATGCATTTTTATTGCAGCTGATGTTTCAGCTGTGAGCTTCAATGTACTCTAAAATGGAACCAGTTCAATTATTCCTCCTTGCCATGTGCCCAAATGTACATCCCTGTGCTCTTATCCATATGTTGATTTCTGCCTCTCGCAGCTGCTAGGAATCGTTTTGCTGGTAATGGGATACTTGCCAAGACACTGGCTGGGAGTGTCAGGAGGTTAATGTCTGAGTTGATTTCCCTGAAATTTAAACATGCTTAGATTTCTCTATTACAATTGTGTTTACCTTTGCAATTTTTCTTTGTGCCTTGTTTAAACATTGATGTACCTTATTTTATGCATCTCTTGTATAATTAGGTTGTTATGCCATAGGTGGAGGAAAGTCATGCACAGCTTGACTTTTAGTTCTTGTGCATCTCAACTCCTGCTCTGGGCCAAGACCCTTAGAAGATATGAATACTCTCAGAGCTGGAATAAGTTTGGATATGAATCCAAACTGAAATTGTTTTTGAAACAGGCCTTTCTCTCTGCTGCACGTATCACCATTCAGATGACGGGACACTGCAGTTGTTTCTGTGGCTCCTAAGCAGGCACTGATCTGACAACTGACTTTTTCATGACATGCTTGTGCTGACTTGGAGCAAAGCGGCAAGATTACCTGCATTAATGCCACAGGACAGTGGGGGGCAACCTCTCTTTGGCAGGCATGCAAATTAGCCCTGCACCCTCCCTAAATGTCACTCTAGTCCCTTTTCCCTGCATGGTCTTCTTTCTGCTTCCTTCCCTGTTCTCCCTGCTCCACTTACTGCTCCGCTTTCTGCTTCCTGTCCTATCTACCACTGTGCTGCTTGTCCTGTCCCTAATTGGCTGTGTGTCACACAGAGGCTGCCAGTGCCACTTGTGTGTGGTGCAAGTTGGCCACCCCTGCCATAGGGTATTTCTACATGGCAGTCTTTTGAATAGAGATGTTACATGAGCTAGTTTGGATCCCAGTAGTTTAATGCCAGCAGTGCACAGCTCTGCATAGGTAGCTTACTCTGGAAAGCAGCAAGGCAAACTAGTCCATGCAGAGTTCCCCGCTGGCACAGTTAAGATTGCTCCCAGTATCTATGCTAGCTGATACAAAACTTGTGTGGCTGCCTCTCCATGGCAATGCACACATGACCTTGTCTGAAGTGGGATGTTGTTTGATGTGGTTAATAGCATTTTTTTCTTAAATGCTTTTTCTCACATTTTTCTGTTAATGTCTTAAAGGCTTTAATTCTACCAGAAAGCAATATCTGCTTGAAAGTAGGAAATAACTGCAAAAGTATCCCTTTGTCAAATAGTCTATTCAAAAGGCAGTGTGAAGGCTAAGATTTTGGTGTGCTTCCAACCATTGCTGAACCCACAGTATAGATTCAAGAATTCTTGAAACTACTTAAAGCACTGACATTTTGTTGTGCAAGCCAAAAAAAAGTTGCTTCTTCCAGGAACTTCCAAAGCAAATAGAATAACTATTCACTGCAAAACCCTCACCAAATTCTGAGTAACTGTTTGTAGTAAGTCTATTGCATTGGGCCATGCTTCCTAGAAGGGTATGACGCTACTGTTTAAAATGGCTAAAATGTAATTTCTTGTATTTTACTGGGATGAAGGAGATGGAATAGGAAGAACAGACCAGTGGACAAGTCTGATGCCAGTAAGTTCTGACTTTTATAACATACTTGTTTAATCCTTTGAAAGGGAGAAAATAAATTGGTCACATCTTGGTTCCAAACATCAGTCCTGCCTAAGGAATGATGAGTGAAGCTGAGCAATTTGTAACATCCTAAACTCATCCTTGTGAAAGGAGGAAGGTCCAACTTGCCAACCAAATAGCTCTTGTTCATTGTTCTGTAACAAAAGGGGAAAGCATTGCCCTAACCAAAAGACCAGATCGGTATAGAAATAGGGTACCAAAACGTCAAAAGTGTCCATCTTGATTTCTCTGCTGCTCTTCTACATCTACCAGGTGATAGATAATGAAATCGGAACAGTTGAAATATTTGATTGCTACCTATTCTTGGGCAGATAACTAGTATATTTTTTTTACTGCCAGTGTTTGTAAGCTACTTAAACTTACTCTGATCGAATGAATGTGAAGCTTGAGAGAGTCCTAAAAGCAGGCGTGCACTACTCCTAATGCACTCTTCTATTGATAATACTGAGAAGAAAGAAGGATACAGAGCATCCAAAAATTGTTGATCTAGTCGAAACTATTTGAGCAGTAAATTAAAACAAGTGCTATGGGTGTCACTTAAAACAAGCCCTAGCAAGCCCTTAATTCAGTTGTAATTTATTCTGCTGTGACTCAGTATTGTTCTAGGCTGTACCAATGAAGGTAGGCCATCTCCCCACAAGCAGATATTCAGCTAATCAGCAATTTCCTTGCTGCCTGATAGCAGGTGGGGCAGCATGTTGCATATGATTGGCAGATCCCTGGTATTTGGACATCAGGCCATCAAGGTCTGTCCCATCGCTTGCCTTTTGAAGCCCCACGCCCCTATAAACGGGCTGCTTGGCTTTCTCTCAAAGGGTGTAGCAGACTCATTCGGGGGACGATGAGGCTGTCTGTTTTGTTCTTCTGGAAAATTGCAGCATGCCATTAAAATATTCTGTT